GCCTTTTGGTGATTCTGTCCAACACTGACAGAGGCCTATACTGTAATTATTTGTCATGAACTACATGGTTTTAATTTTTTATTTTGATTTCTGATGTAGTGATAAAATAATAAATGAGATGTATGCTTTAAGAAATAGTGTTCCTTTTATTTATTTACATGGCTTTGGCTAGCTAGCTGTATCCATTTTTTTTACATTTTCTGTAAGTCAATAAATGGATAGCTATTGTTGGACATAAATGTCTGAGAGTCCAAGATATATCAGGTACACTCAATTATTTACACATTCGCCAATCATTAGTACACCATGAGCCTACAATATCTAATCTAATTTGCTCTGTTAATTAAAAAGGAACTAGGTAATCCATGTGCATTGTACAAAATCTTGTGCATTGTACTGATAAACATAATGACACATAAGTAGAGTTTCACCTTCTCTTGTTTTGCAACAGCAAAACATATGCTAGTCATAAACTACACTGAAGCATAGTACTTTGATTCAAACTAAATACAAGAACTTAAAGTGATATTTAAGCTTCTTTTTTTGAATTTTTACATCCAGGAGGCCCAGCTTTTTATCAATATTCTGTTATTTTTTTTTTAAATGTTCTGTTCCTCATTTTGGGTCCCCCTAGCACCCCCTTCGCCCCCTGCACGGGTGCCTTCCTCAGCTAACTTACTTCTGTGAACGCACCCATGCGTGCACGTTCCTGGCCATGCCTGCAGTAGCTGTGTGCGTCCATGGACACACACAGCCCTATGGCAGGCCACACCCCTCCTCTCCTTCCTAAAGGGTGATTGATGGCAAAAGTAGCCTATGCCCTCCTCTGCCCTCAGTATCCTCCCCTTGCAATTAGGAAATTTGGGGAATGGAGGATCGCTTCAGGGACCGGCAGCGTTGACAGCTGTTACACAGGTACGTGTGTGGGGGGGGGAATGGGGAACACAAAAAAGTACTGGTTGTTTTTTATCTTAATGCAGAGAATGTATTAAGGTAAAAAATTACCAGCCTCTAATACTACGTTAAATACAGTAGTATCTAAACCTAAAAACAAAAATATAAAACATTGCATCTTGTCAGACCTTAGTTGTGGTGGGTGCCTTAGTTTTTATTTTTCAGGCTAAGAATATTTTCAGCAAGTTCAGAAAAACCCTGTTGAGCTTGCCAGAAATGCAGTGCCCTGGTCACTTCCTGTGAGCTGTAAGAAAGCTCACACATCCTGTTTTTTCTTGTGTAAACTACTAGCTCCATCAATCCACCATGTAATGGAGACAAACAAAGGTAATCATCTTTGAAATTCAGCTTGCGTGACAACCACGGCTCCCTCCATAGATACAATGGAGAAATGAGTGGGACTGGATATATGTATATACAGCGGCAGTATCTAAGGAATGGTAAGCTGCAATATATTACATGCTTTTGGGTTTAATTATGCTTTAACCCCTTAGTGACCAGTGACATCCATAGTACGTCACTGTCACTGGGCCTGTTTAGACAGACTCCCGGCGTCTTTAGCGTGTTTACAATTGTAAAGCCAACTGTCTATAAGAAAATAATAAGAAAAGAAAAAGAAGAAGAGAAAAAAAGTGGATGAGGGCGGGGATCAGTGGTCGGGGGAGGTTGGGGGAGGTCGGAGGATTATTTATTAATTTGTATCCCTCTCTCCCAATATCTGATATATATTGTTGCCACTTACTCTACCTTGAGTGTTCCAGTGCTCTTCCTCTTCCCTTCCCCTCCCTCCCATATATTCCTCCCCTTAAGCCCTAATTCCCCTTCTCCTTCATGTATATTAAATGTCTTATTCCCTTATTATTACATATGTTTATAAATTCCCAATTCTAACACCTATATGGTCGACAGTATGGAGGACGTATCTCCCTGGAGACAGTGAATTCCTCTCAGTCATGTACATTGCCATGTATTCTAAGCATTGGTAGTTGCCTGAAGTGTGTATGAGCGTGCTTCAAAAAAAAACCTTAAAGGTAAGAAATATGTTTTGCAAAATACATTTTAGGTATACTGTGTGAATAGGAACACATAACAATTTTATAGAGGGGGTTTCTTAAATTTGACTGCAAAGGTGGAAATACACTTTAAGTAAGCCATTATCTAATTTTTTTACATAATACTAAGCAATTGCGTGCAGTGCAACAAGAGATCAGATTTCAACAACTTAAAATGTCCTGGATTGCTTTTACGTGCTAAATGCAACTGCTTTTGATTTTGGAATACTAAGTTTAGAGTGTTGGATATAATTGTGGAAACGTTATAAAAAAATGTTGTATATCACAGTTACATAGTATTTGAGGTTGAATAAAGACACAGGTCCATAGATTTCTACCTTTGTGGGTGTGTGTGTGTGAGTGTTCCAAGAGAACCTGTACCCCTGTATGTTATGGTCTCTGAGGAAAGTATCTAATCGATTCTTGAATTATTCAATACCCTCTGCTGATACGACTGCTTGTAGAGGAGAGTGCCACAATTTTACCACTCTACCAGAAAAGAATCTCCTTTGTTGTTAAACCCTTTTTCCTCCAATGTCAAGTGGTGACCTCTTGGTTTTTTTTAGTGAGTTTACAGTAAAAATGTTTTTTACTAATATTACCATCACCATTAAACACTTTGTACATCAAAAACATGTCCCTTCTTAATCACCTCATTTCTAGAGTGAACAAGGTTAATGTTTAATGGTTAGTCTATTATGCAAAGAGGGGTAAAAGGGTGAGAGCGTGTCACCACTTCCATATCAATTTTAGCATAACAACATAAAACAACAAATAGGGTTTTTTAGGTGCCAAAAGACTTTTTACAAACTCATGTCTAGATAAAATATTTTTTTTATTATTAATCCACATTAAAACATTTTCTAAAATCAATAATACAGGTGTCCACCTTATTACATTCTAATCATATTACATTGTGATAATCTCTTGAACATAGGGTACTTTAAATACCGCAAATAATATAATCTTGCTATAAAGACTTGTCGTGTTTTGCAATATTGCTTCTTCAGGAGTCCTATAAATTTATAAGTTGGACAGTTACATATTATTCTACTTTTAAAAAAATACAGAGCATGCATGCATCGATTATTATCCAAACATATTTCAATTAACTCCTTCGTCTATTCATAATTAGTTGTTTTCATACGATGAGGTATGCATAAAGGGGGAGTACCACATCCTAATAATTTATAACACAGAAAAGAAAGAAGGTTCAGACTTTTCAGGTACTCCAAAGATCACACAAGTGTACTTTTTTTGTATATAAAATGTAACACATTTTTATTTATAAACATATCTAAAAATGCATAATTTTAAAAGGACAGAAAACATTGTCTAAAAAAGACCAAAGGATGTAGCCACATCCTCCCACAATTTTAACATTACAGTACAGTAATTTTACAGTACTTTTTACAGTTTGCTGCATATGAGCAGCAGTAGTCCAGTGGGAGGAAAACAAATGTCTATGTTTCACGGAGATTCGCTTCTTCAGGAATAGGCTACTGTCTTTAGTAATCTCTAAGATGGCAATATCCACCACTATCCATCATCCAACCAGGGGCACAGATGGGGAGGAACCCAAAAAAGAGGGAGCCGAAAACAAGGCAACTCCCAAATCAAAACAGGAGAATCAGGAGAGCGAAAAAACACTCAGAAAAAGCCAGGTATTCTATTGGGTAATAACATCTCAAACATTCTCCTTAGTATTCACTGGGCCACACCTGATGTTATCCATTTTAATCATCAGTGTATACTCTATAACCGATAACTTGGGCTTTCAGCACTGTCAAAGATATATCCAATTCTTTTTTCCTTTTTCTCACTCCTAGGTTCCAACCATCTGAGGTGGTGGACATTCAGCAGTGTCCAGCACCCACAGTAGGCGGGAATGGAGGTGCAGCAGGGGAAGGCAGAAAGAAAAGAAAAGGAGGTGGAGCAGGGGAACAAAGGACAGTGCACCTAGCACCCAAATGAGATCAAAGCAAAGCCCAGCAAGTTACCTAAATGGATGACATGTAGCTTAATCAATATGAACCACAACTGGTTACCAACAGTTTCACCCCCATAAAAATCTCCATATTTAGGTGCAATTCTTACCATCTAATTGGACTTAACCACATGTCATATGTGAATGAGTATTCAATGGTACGCGTATTCCAACCTTATTAGTGGCTTTGCTTTGATCTCACAGGAAGGCCCTCATTTTTAGCGCTCTGCACACTGTCCTTTGTTTCTCTGCTCTGCCTCCTTTTCTCTTCTTTCTGCCTTCCCCCCCTGCTCCTCCTTCCCCGTCTGTTGCGGGTGCCAGACGCTGCTAAATGTCCATGGACATCAGGTGAGTGAACCAAGGTGTTAATCGAGATATGTCTGGATAATGATTGATGCATGGATGCTCTGTATTTTTTGATAAAGTAGAATAATATGTAACTGTCCAATTTATGGATTCATAGGACTCCTGGAGAAGCAATATCGCATAACGCATTGAATCTTTACAGCAAGATTATATTATTTGCAGTATTTAAAGAACCCTATGTACATTAAATTATCACACTGTAAAATGATTAGAATGTAATAAGGTGGACATGTGTATTATTGATTTTAGAAAATGTTTTAATATGGATTAATAATAAAAAAATATTTCTTCTAGACATGAGTTTGTAAAAAGTCTTTTGGCACCTAAAAAGCCCCACTTGTTGTTTTATGATGTTATACTATAAGGTTAATGTCTGCAATCTTGTCTCATAGCTTTGGGCCTTAAGCACCTTTATCAGTTTCCTTGCACTTCTCTGGACTCTCTCCAGTTCAAGGAAATCTTTTTTTTCCACTGTGGATTGGTGATCAAAATTGAACTCGAGACGAGGCCAAAACAGTGTTTTGTAAAGTGGCAAAATATCACAGGCAAAACATCTGGTATCATTTTGTATATCACGGTATTTACAGCATACACAAAAAATAGAGTTAGAAAATAGATGACCAAATAGCAGAAAAACGTACCTATAATAAAAAGAATTTCCACGGAAATATCACTAACAGTTGTGCTTCTTGTTGATGACAGATCATCATTGTCCACAAAGGATACATTGTAAGGTACAGTAACAGCAACATAAAACGTTGCTAATAATATAAGCCAGTCCCAGGCTGCTTTGAAAGTACTAAAATGTAAAATGAGAAACTTTGTTTTTTTTGCATCTGAAACTTTATATTCAGGAATTGCTGGTTTATCTACAAAAACGTTCTGTAAAAAAACAACAAATTTTTTTTATTAAAGTATATATCCTATAATTATATAGCTTAACAAGGATCAGTCTCTTTTAAAATGTGTTGTATCTCAATAACATTTGTGCAAATTATGAAATATCCACATGTACATTATTGAACATAAATTACTATTCATGTAGTAAAAAGAAATATTATTTTCCAGCTGCAATTTTGGCCTGACTTTTTTGTGAAGGTTGGCACGGGAGTGTTTATTTTAAGGACACACTTCTGTTCTTATTCTTCCCTCTGTCCATACTTATACTACTAATCTGGCTCAGACTCTACTTCTATCCTGCCTAACATCACTTAATAATGACTATCACAAAATAAACCAATTCTTTTCCTCCTAAAGCTTTACGGCATATCTTAATATTCAGTATTCACTGGGTTTTTTTTTTTACCTAGTATGACATTTTGTAATAATTTCTGTGTGGTATTTTTGGTGATCAGAGCAAATTGTGCCCGAGAAGGTATGTGCTTCAAGGCTGAACATTAGCCATTGTTTTACTTTTGGGTGGAATGGGGAAAGTTAAAATGTATTTTATGTATATATAGCTCCTTGTAATGACTTTAAGGAAATTTTATCTTTTGTCTCTGTGATGGCTGAACAAAGGAAAAGTGGATTCGGTGTCAAAGGGATAGTGAAACACGCACAGCAATACAAATTCTACTGAATTACAATGTTTTGGTGGGTGTTGGTCTTTAAAAAATTGCATCAAACCCACAAATGAGTAAAATGCATTTTATATAAAAAAGGAAAAATCTTCTTTAAAGTACACTTTCACTGGTACACTTATACTGTAATTATTCACACAACACACAAAAAGCAAAATATAAACTTTGATCAATAGAATAGCGGTGGGTGATTGTACGCTGAAAATCAATCTGTTACAAGCCTTTATGGTGGTCATACATGTATGGGTGTATTTATAAACAATTCACTGAGCTAGGGATGCACAGATACTTTTCGAGTACCAGTGCAGATACTTGGCATTTTCATGAGAACTGCCAGGGTTGCAGCGGTTGAAGCTGGGGCCTGGCTCTGGCACTCCACCACTGTCCTGAAATCATTAGTCTGTATTGTTTTAGAAAAACTGTCACATGACAATAAACAAAAATGTATCAGTACTCGCACTTGTAAGTACTCAGCAAGTACCAGTACTCGTATCGCAAAACTGGTATCTGTGCATCCCTTTATTTATATTTATAAAAACAAAATCGTACATTAAAACAGAGATGTACAAATCCCGGGAGCTCTGTGTGCTCCTTACAAATGACAGCTGCCTCCTAACTTTTTAATTTTTCTCTAGTCTAGTCTTGGAGCTCAAAAGTATCGGTACATGTACTCGTACTTGTACCGAGTACTGTACTTGGTATCTGTGCAACCCTACACTGAGCCATTAATCCTACAAAATTGCATGCATATTTGTTCTGCGTGAAGAAAGACAAAAACGAATGTTATTAGCATAATTTATTTCCAGGTTGAATGTAATATCAGGAAAATAACACACCATGACCACTTATTTTCTATGCTCCTCAGCTCCATCTAGTGGAAATAATGGAGGATTTTCCTGATATTACATTCCAAACCTAAAAATGAAAATATACTAGTAACATTCATTTTTGCCTCAATTCACACACAACAAATGTAAATGCAATTTCACATTCATATAAATACACCTCAGGGATTTGTAATTGATCTAGGTACAATCATCTATTAAAGTATAAAAAATGGCACTCACATGATATTGTTCTGCACTTTACAATTGAAAAAAAATTAAGTATGGGTCATTATCTAAGCGATCTATTAAAACGTTTATTTCATTCTTCTGTATTACAATTGTTTTTTTGATACACATGTAGATATTTATTTAATCAAAAGCGATTGACAAAATCCCTGTATATGGCCAAATTGGCAGAGTCTAAATTGATCAGGAGCTCACTAAATTGAGTAAATGAAGGGCAATTGGTTTGTGATTCAACGTCAATGCCATCAGTTTAATCACATTGAATGATGAATTGAATGATCATATCAGTATAGGTGTGGCCACCTTTAAAGTGGCAGGAGCTTCATGGTATTTCTTCATTTACGTTGACTTTTTTCCACTCAGCAATTATTTATCATGATTGGAAATCAATGGCAGGCAACAACCCAAATAAAACATTCAGTATTATATTAAACATCTTCCATGTATTTAGTGATATTCAATATAAATATGTTCATATCAATAATTAGGCATTGTTGATTGTTCTATTATTAATTGTATTTGGCGTTCAATCCTTACATATGGGGTTCTTTATTTTTAAAAAGCTAACACAAGCACTTTACAACAAAATGCAAATGCATAAAGATATAAAACTGTGGCAGAATAAAAAAGTAAGAATATGATTAGCACTCAGCAAATAGATATAGTAATATGTTATGACCAACTAAAGACATTTAGGTAAATGTCAATGCAATATAAGGTTTTTGCTAGTGTAGCAAATATAAAGATTGTGTAGTTTGTGTTGGTTTGTTTATAAATGTTTCATATGTATTATATATAGTCTGAGATTGACACCATCATTAGCCAAATACCAAATAAATTGATGCCTCATATACATATGTCACTCTTACTTTATTGAGCTTTAATTTGCCCTTTTCTCTCCTTTGTAGGTGACCGGAGATATGATAAAGAACAGCCCGACTCCGTCTCCTTGCTGCCTCAAAATGGGACCCTGATTTTCCTTTTCTGTATTTTTCTGTGGAACAAAAGTAACAAGCAATTAAATATCACTGCATGCAATTTTAACCTTTCGGGGATGTACTTCTATTTAACTTTCTAGAATGTAATAAAAGGTAAAGATAGACTTCAGTACTTATCCTCCAATAGAAGATTCATGCTGGAATATCAAGAGAGCTGACAAGGACTCTGACAATTTAAAATATTCACTTTGCAAGGGAATTTTCACTTAGGGGCCTATTCACAAAGCTGCCAAAGGATCTAGCCATAGCTTCGGCTGATCCTTCGGCTAGCTTCGGCCCCAGGACCCCTTCGGTTCAGTAGAACTGAAGGGCTACTGTACGGGCTATTCACTATAGCCCATACAGCTCCCGCAGTTGGCCGAGTGGCTCAGTCGAGCCGAACGTCAGTCAGTAAAAAAAAACAGCATAGGAATGCATAGCTACATTCCTATTGGCTATTTCACTTTGCAATAGCCAATAGCAAACTAGCTACTGCACCCGCCCACTGCTGCTGTCAATCAGCAGAGAGGACCTGAAGTTCTCCATCAGGTCCTCTTCTAGTGATTGACAGCAGCAGAGGACGGGTGCAATAGCCAGCTTGCTATCAAAATAGCCAATAGGAATCTATCTATGCATTCCTATGCTGATTTATTTTATTTTTTTATTCTGATGGCAGCAGCTGTCAGAATACTGAAAAAAACTTGCAGATAGCAAAGAAGCAATTGCTTCCTCTGCTATCTGCCATCATTTCTGTTGGGAGCTCTCTCCCGCCCGCATTACAATGAGAGCTTAGCAGAGCCGGAGGTGATATGAATGCCGACTCTGCTGAGCTCTCATGGTACTGACAGTTCAGCGTCCCCCTGGTTACTTGGTAACCAGGTAACCAGGGGACGCTGATCTGTCAGTACCATGAGAACTCAGCAGAGTCGGCTTTCATATCACCTCCGGCTCTGCTGATCATTTTATTTTTCTACTTTTTAAAAATGTTTTTCTATTCTGCATGGTACCACAGAGGTATCGAGCAGAATAGCCGCGGCATTCGGCTACTCACTCACTGCTGTTCGGCATCTATGAAAATAGACCGAACAGCAGCGAGTAGCCTGCCGGAGGTTCAGCTCAAATGTTGGATCGGCTAAGTTGAACTCCTTTTGCACTTTAGGTCAGCCGAACATGCTCAGCATGTTTGGCCGACCCGAAACCAGCCGCAGCAAGCCGATGTACGGCTGATTTCAGGCGGTGTACTGCTGAAATCAGCCGTACATGCCTGAAGTGAATAGCCGAACAGCGTTCGGCTCACTTCACATCGGGTCGGTTATTGAAACGGCTGCCCTCGGCAGCTTTGTGATTAACCCCCTTAGCTTGAATGATTTTTGCTTGCACATGATTTGAGGATGGAAGTCAGCAGAACATCACCTCATTCACTAAGCTATGGGAAAATTCCCTGGCAAAGTAAAAAAAATCACCTTAACTAAGTGAACAGCCTTTAATAATACAAATAGCCTTTAGTAAATCCACCCTGTATATCTAGAGGAGCAATAAACCTAAGATATTGGCGATGTTATTTAAAATTTAAGTTCCCAATATATAGATACATTTGTGTAAATAAAAGTTGCATATCTTTACAAAAGTTGATAAACATTAAAAAAATTGACACATATGGTTTTGGTTGCAGTTTAACAGTTGAGTCATCAGATGTTTTTGGGTAAAGGATGCTTAGTTGAGGTATATAGCAATATATAGTATATATATATATACTATCAGGATTGCTGCGGTTGCAGCTGTGACAAGGCTCTGGCGCTCCACCACTATCCTGAAATCATTAGTCTGTATTGTTTTAGAAAAACTGTCACATGACAATACACAAAAATGTATCAGTACTTGTACTTGCAAAAATGGTATCGGTGCATCCCTTATATATATTTATAAAAAAAATAAAAACAGGAATGCATAAATCCCAGGAGCTCCATATGCTCCTTAAAATAAGAACAGATATAGATACTTTTCTAGCTCCAAGACAAAACTAGAGAAAAATTAAAAAGTTAGGAGGCAGCTGTCCTTTTTAAGGAGCATATGGAGCTCCTGGGATTTGTGCATTCCTGTTTTAATTTTTTTTATAAATAACGGAAAATTGTTATCACATACTTACCGTAATTTTCCTTTCCTGGCTCACCTCATGTCGGCACACTAATGGGGTTAACTCCGACCAGGGGACCCCTATAGGACCACCCCTAACTAGAGTATAAATTCCCCCCTTACCACCATACACGTGTTCCATAGCACGTCGAGCGAAGGCATGGGAGGGTAGCTATGCCGACATGAGGTGAGCCAGGAAAGGAAAATTACGGTAAGTATGTGATAACAATTTTCCGTTTTCCTGTCTCACCTCATGTCGGCACACCAATGGGACATAGCTAGCAACAAATAAATATGGGAGGGTTTCATGCCAAAAATATATATTTATTCAGCTCCTAGAAGCTGCTGAGAGCACAGGTGCCCCAAAGGCTGAATCTCCAGAACTAGATACATCAACACGGTAATGCTTAATGAAGGTGTTCGCGGACAACCAACTTGCCGCCTTGCAGACCACCTCTACTGGTACTTTTGCGTAAGCTGCCCAAGATGTAGCCACCGACCTCGTTGAGGGAGCCCTGACCTCCTGTGGAGGGGGAAGACCCGCTGACTTGTAAGCGAGTTGAATGGCTTTAACCACCCATGTGGATAGAATCTTTGTGGAAGCAGCTGCTCCCTTCCTTGGACCTCCGGGCATCACAAATAATCTTTCGGTGGAACGAAACCCTTCAGTCCTCAGCAAATAGGTGGAAAGTATGCTCACCACATCCACTCTCCCTAGATATTCTTCTGCAGAAGAGAGCAGTTCCCCTTGCAGGGCCGGGAGGACCAATTCCCAATTGTAATGAAATACAGAAGAAACTTTCGGTAGAAAAGATGGCACCGGCCGTAACACTATCCGGTCTGGAAATATCTGACAGTAAGGCCCCTTGCAGGAAAATGCTTGCAGCTCCAACACCCTCCTGGCGGATACCACTGCTATGAGGAAGACTGACAGGAGGGTAAGGTGATACAGAGAACATGAAGATGGAGGAAAGAATGGATCCATTGACAATTCCTTCAGAACTAAGGGCAGATCCCACTTCGGAAATATTGGTTTCACAGGAGGCCTCAACTTCATGGCTGCTTGTAAAAACTGTCGAACGACAGCATGATTTGCCCAACGAAACTTCGTCAAAGCCGACAAGGCTGAGACCTGGACTCGGATCGTATTGTAGCTCAGACCATCATCCAGGGCTGATTGCAAAAACTCCAGGATGTGCCCCACCGTCGGGTTACTAGACGGCCAGCCTTTCTGTGCCGCCATCGTGAGAAACTTTTTCCAGACTCTATGATACGTCGTCTTATTCGATGGCTTCGTGGCCTGCAACAGGGTTTCTACTACCGATGCCGAGAGCTGCAGGCTCTGTAACCTCTTCCTCTCAATTTGCAGACCATCAAATGGAGGCGTGCCACATTTGGGTGGCGATTGTCGCCCTGAAGGAGAAGATCCCTCCAAAGGGGCAAGGGTCTTGGGGTCCCGACCAGCAACTCCATGAAAAGAGGAAACCACGGCCTCTTCGGCCAGCACGGCAAGACGACAATGGCCAGAATCCCCTCCCTGTCGATCTTCTGTAGAACCCGCAGAATCAATGGAGTGGGAGGAAAAATGTAGACACTGTCGAACTGCCATGGAAGGGACAGGGCATCCTGACCCAGAGCCTCCTGGCAGAAGTAACGGGAGTAAAACCTCGGGAGCTGAGAGTTGTCCCTGGATGCCATGAGGTCTATGCACGGAATCCCCCACTCCCGGAAGATTGGCCACAGATACTTTGGATTTATGGACCATTCGTGGGGATCCACAAACTGCCGGCTCAGTCTGTCCGCCTGCTGATTCTCCGTGCCTGGCAGATAAGAAGCTGTCAGATCCAGAAGGTGCCATTCCGCCCATGGAAAGAGGACCGAAGCGATCTTCAGCAAAGAGGAGCTTTTTGTGCCCCCCTGCCGTACCATATAAGACACCGCCGTCTTGTTGTCCATCCGCAACTGGACCCGTCGACCTTGGACAAGCTGGAGAAAGGCCTTGAGAGCCTCGAATGCTGCTTGTAATTCGAACGCATTCGAGTGTCCTGGTCTCTGAGATGCCCACCTTGACTGAACCTGGTGCCCCAGGCAATGGGCTCCCCATCCTGTGAGGCTGGCATCTGATGTCAGCGTGATCCAATCCACCGGTTGAAGAATCTTGCCTTTCAACAAATGCTGAGGATCGCACCACCATTGCAGACTGCTCCTGACTACCTTCGGGAGGAAGATCAACTGGGCTAAAAACTGTTTGTCCCATTGCAGTAGAAAAGAGTATTGGATATGGCACATATGCCAATGTGCCCAAGGGACAGCTGGAATTGACTCCTATGAACGAGAGACACCGATGTGCCGTGCATGTAGCCGATGCCATGTGTAGCTTGGGCAGCCAGATGATGCGAGATACCTTCCCTTTTGGCAGGAAGATCCTTGTTGCCTCTGAGTCGAAAATCATCCCTAGGTACTGTATGGCCTGTGCCGGCCGCAGCTGGCTTTTCTGCCAGTTCACCAACCATCCATAGCGCTGAAATGTTATCAACACCAGCCGTCGGTGCCGCAGAATCTGCTGCCGCGACTGAGCCAACAGAAGGACATCGTCCAGATAATGGAATATCCTTACACCCCGTAATCTTAAAAGGGCAATCACCGACACAAACACTTTGGAAAACGTCCTGGGAGCTGAGGAGAGGTCGAATGGAAGGCAACGAAACTGATAATGCCTGTGACCCACAGTGAACCTCAGAAACCTCTGGTGGGAGGTTGCCAGCGGAACATGGAAGTAGGCATCCTTCAAGTCCCCCGTGAGCATCCAATCGCCTGGTCTCACCAGTCCTTTGATGGTCTCTATTGACTCCATGCGAAACCTTTCCACCCCGACGAACCGATTCAGTCTTTGTCGTGAGACTTTGCGCACAAGAAAGAGAGGGGAATATACGCCCTGACCCCTTTGCTGCTCTGGTACGGGCAGAATGGCCTGCGAGTGCAGCAACTCGTCAATATATTCGTGTAGACAAGCTCTTTTCTCTTGAGACACTGGGATATGAGTTCGCACAAAGCGATCTGATGGCATCGAGACAAACTCTATTCTGTAGCCGCTTCTCACAACCTCTAATACCCATGTAACCTGAATAGTGTCCGCGCCCATATCTGCCCAAAGGAAGCCAGCCGAGCTCCCACCACAGGCAACAGGGCGGGCCTTATTTCAGAATAACTTTTCAGTTTTCTTGGGTGCTTGAGCAGGCCCTGCCTTGGCACCTCTAGAGTAGGTCCCCCGACCTCCTCGCCACGCGTTACGAAAAAACTCTCTTCCGGGTCGATAAGATCTGGCCTCCCGATATGGCTCCGTGAAACGTCGGTACAGCCGAAAGGGCTGCCGGCGTCTCTTTCTATCTTGCGGGAGCAACCCAGACTTACCCCCCGTCACTCTCTTAATAGCCTCCTCCAGAGAAGCCCCGAAGATTACCTTCCCAGCGAAGGGAATAGCGCAAAGCCCTTGCTTTGATGCGCCATCCGCTGACCAGTGCTTCAACCATAGAGCCCTGCGGCCTGTCACTGAGAATGACATCAGACGGGCTGACAAATGGACTAAGTCCACCGAAGCTTCTGCTACAAAGTCTGAGGTCATCTTTAAGTCACCCAAGGACTCCACAATCTTCTCTCTTGGCACCCCTGACAGTAATGCCTCCTCGATGCCAGAAATCCACACCCTCATAGCTTTGCTGACTGAGGATAATGCAACCGCGGGTCTGCATGAAGCTCCGGCCGTGGCGTATATTTTCTTCAAATCCACCTCCAGACGCCTGTCCATGGTATCCTTAAAAGAGACAGAGTCATCTAATGGCAGAAGCACATGTCTAGCCAGCCTTTGCAAGGCCGCATCAACCTTGGGAGAATTATCCCATAATTCGGAATCAGATGGCCGACACGGATACAATTTTCAAATACGATTTGGTAATTTCCCCTTCCTATCCGGCCTTGTCCATTCCTCTTCAATAATCTCCTTGATCTCAAAGAAGACTGGACTGGATCCACCTCCCAGTCAAGCGCAAGCTTGATAGCGGATATAAAGGGAGAAACCTGAGCAAAATCAAAAGAAAATGCCTCATCATGGACTTTATCCCTGTCCTCCTCTGAGTCCTCCAATTCCGACTCTTGTGAGGTTGCCACCTCCACGGGTCTTTCTCTCTCTCTGTGTCGTTTTGCCGAGGTACTAAGTCCTGAGTACTCCCTGATACCCTCTGCTACTGCTTCCCGGATATAAGCTTTGATATCCTGTGAGTCAGAAGCTGCGTCCTTTGCCAACTCTTTTATGCAAGTGGCGCACAACAGCTTTCGTGGCAGCGCCTGGTCACCACATGCCCGACAGGCCTCAGTGGATGTGCTGACCGGTGGGGTGATAGACCGTTGCCTGGCTCTAAGCTGGGGAGACCTAGGCTCAGGAGAATCTGATATCCTGCGGGAGCGTGACTTCACTTTGTGTTTCCTGTATTTAGGGCTCTTCCCCCTGAAACGACACACCCCATCACTTGCAGAGCACTCTTTTGATATCACCAAAAAAAAATAAAAAAATAAAAATTATATATCTCATACCTCTCTGACGAACTTCGTGCCTGTTGAACTGGGCTACCTGGGCTCATGGTGGCTCACTAGAGAAAAGCATACATGCAGATAGATAAACACCTGTTTATATATGACAGAAAAGATTGCAGCAGCGATCACTACCGGATTTACCTGGCAATAGACAGCGTAGAGAGAATCCTTCACTTCAATAATCTCCTACCGAGTTGAATGGCTTTAACCGAAGAGTACAGGCAATTCTCTGGAAGACAGCCAGCTTATATAAAGCACTGCTGCCCTAGGCTGTCAGCGTTGAGAGCAGCCAGCTGAGCCTCGGCGTGCGCTCCACACTGGTCCGCCGTCCGGCCCGCCCCCTGCAACCCCGCGACCCAATCCGAGAGCAGCAGGAAGGGGCGGGACACACAACCCTGCTGGAACGCAGATGAACTGCAACCACGGCTTCTGCTACGGTACATAGCCAGGCAGGAAGGCGTGCGCTCCACCCTGGAACGCATATGTCGATCGGAGGAGAGAGACAGTGTCTAGCCTGCGAACGCCACCATGAGCCGTACTTACCCAGCCCTGCTG